AAAGATGCAACATTTGCAGATATTTTTACTGGTCTTCCTTTATAAATATGCATTTCTTTAAACATAATTTAAAAGCAGTGTAAGGGAAGTAACCAAAACGTTGTATTTGGATTACCTCCCTTACACTGTTTTAAATTATCTTTATTGTTCATTAACCATTACTTTATACATAATTTAAAAGCAGTGTAAGGGAGATAATTTCAATGATGTATTTGATTTATCTCCCTTACACTGCTTTAAATTATGTTTTGTACTAAAGTATTTGTCCATTAACCAGGACAACCTTGTTTTTCCCCCTTTTTTGCCCCTAATTCCTAAACGGTTTGAGCCATAACCCCCCAAAGCAAATCCTAACCATCCCTTTGTGGTATGAAAACTTGTAGTATAATTTCAGAGAGATCCATACACCGTTCCACAGTTATTGTCTGGAAACTAGAAAATGCTTATTTTTGGCCCCTTTTTCCTTAACTGTTGGTACCATAACCCCCAAAATCAATCCGAACCTTCCTTTTGTGGTATTTAACCTTATGGTCAAATGTCAAAAAGATCCATTCACTTAAACTAAATTAGAATGCGAAAACCAATGTGTCTTCGGACGACGATGCTGGATGACGACGCCAACGTCATACCAATATACGACCACAAAATTTTTTTGTCAGAAAGGGTTAAAATCCCGCTGAATATATAGGTCTGCCAAGTTCAAAAATAAATTCTGTAAACTCCTCAAGAAAATTGTTTGATTATTAAATTTATCTGTAACTATGATTTCTTTTATTCAGTCCATCATTCATTTCGATTCTTTTATGTTCCCATCATGACCCTCATACATCAAGTTATGTTATGTAAATGTTACCCCCCACCCTTTTTTTAAAAATCGCCCCACTTTTGAAAAAGGGTAAAATCCTGTTGAATATAGGTCTGCCAAGTCGCCCCACTTATGAAAAATAGAAAAATCCCGATCAAATTTTGCATGCCAACTCGCCCAACTGATGAAAAATGATGCAATCCCGTTGAATATAGGTCTGCCAACTCGCCCCACTTATGAATAAAAGAATTAAACTGTACTGAATTGTGGCCTATCATATCGCCCCACTTATGAATAAAAGAATTAAACTGTACTAAATTATGGCCTACCAACTCGCCCCACTTATGAATTAAATGAATACTTATAAAAACCTTAGAAAATTTTTGTTTTTTTTTAATTCTTTTCTTTATAATTTTGAAACCAAGCCCTTAAATTTCTCGTAAAGACAAAAGTAACCTATCCGTTAATTGCTATAAAAACAAATTGATGTTAGATTGGAATCCTTAAATTGTTATGAAAATATATCAGATTTTGATACAATTAACAGGTTTCTTTGCAATTATTTTGCAAATAACTAAGCTTGCAAGAATAAAGTTATTCTCCAATAAATACGTAAATTACATAATAATAAATAATGTATCTACAATTATATTTTAAGAAGTGAAACATCATTTCAATTCAATAATAATCATATATTAAATTTTGATTTTTTTGTATTCTGGGTAGATAAGTTTTCATTTATGAGTGGAGCGAGTTGGCAGACCTTTATTGTCGAGCCTTCGACTTTAGTCGAAAAAGCGAGACATAGCGATCCTACATTCCGTCGGCGTCGGCGTCCACAAATATTCACTCTGTGGTTAAAGTTTTTGAAATTTTAATAACTTTCTTAAACTATCCTGGATTTCTACCAAACTTGGACAGAAGCTTGTTTATGATCATAAGATAGTATCCAGAAGTAAATTTTGTAAAAAGAAAATTCCATTTTTTCCGTATTTTACTTATAAATGGACTTAGTTTTTCTGCCGGGAAATATTACATTCACTCTGTGGTTAAAGTTTTTAAAATTTTAATAACTTTCTTATACTATTTTGGATTTGTACCAAACTTGGATAGAAGCTTGTTTATGATCAAAAGCTAGTATCTAGAAGGAAATTTTGTAAAATAATAAATCCATTTTTTCCGTATTTTACTTTTAAATGGACTTAGCTTTTCTGCCAGGAAACAACACATTCACTCTGTGGTTAAAGTTTTTAAAATTTTAATAACTTTCTTATACTATTTTGGATTTGTACCAAACTTGGACAGAAGCTTGTTTATGATCAAATGCTAGTATCTAGAAGGAAATTTTGTTTTCTTCCAGTTAACATTACATTCAGTCTGCAGTTCAGGTTTTTAAACATTTATTAGATTCATAAACTATCCTGGATTTTTACCAAACTTGGACAGAAGCGTCTTACAATCAAAAGATAGTATCAAGAGGAATATTTTTATTGATTTACTTCCTCATTTTTGTTGAGCCTGCCATTAACAGATAAACTGCTTCGCTGAGCGCAGCTGGATTCGCCCGCAGAGGTCCAACCCTGAACAGTTGGGGCAAAAATGGACACAATATTCAAGCTTCCTACAGGTCTGAATTTGGATTGTAATTAAATATTTGACATATTATAGGTTTCTGAATAAATGTAGTCAAAGAACTTGAAATTGGTTATATGAATTGAATTTATATTCAATTAAAGATTTCTTGCTGTTGTGCAATACACTGTGCTGTTGCGCAATACTTAGTAAATCTGTTGTCAGACTATAAACAAATACAGTTCAATTAATTCTCAATGTCATATTAGAAATTTATGAAAATGTAAAGCGAGCTTACACCAATAGATATAAACAATTCACCAAAGTTTCATGAGAATTGCTGACAGCATTTTTGAGTTATTGTCCGAAAATTGGAAAATCCCCCCTTTTTTAATGAATAAAACCCCATAACTCAGAAATGTAAAATGTAAAATTTATAAAATTCTAAAGGGAGCTTACATCAATAGATATAAACAATTCACCAAAGTTTCATAAGAACTGTTGAAAGCATTTTTGATTTTTTGTCCGAAAACTGGAAAATCCCCCTTTTTTATGAATAAAACCCTGTAACTCGGAAACTTAAAATCTAAAATTTATAAAAAACAAAAGGGAGCTCACGTCAATAGATATAAACAATTCACCAAAGTTTTATGCAGATTGGTTAAAGCGTTTTTGAGTTAATGTCCGACATGTTGACGACGGACGGACGGACAGACAGAAGGACGGACAACGGTATACCATAATACGTCCCGTAAACGGGCGTATAAAAAAGTAGGCGAGACACTGGGTTCCGCGGAACCCTTACGAATTTTTATATATTCATCTGGATTTTACCCATTTTCATAAGTGGGGCGAGTTGACAGCAGTATATTTAACGGGATTTAACCCTTTTTCATAAGTTGGGCAAGTTGGTAAACAAGAGTTGGGCGATTTTTGTCGAGCCTTCGACTTTAGTCGAAAAAGCGAGACATAGTGATCCTACATTCTGTCAGCGTCGGCGGAGACCACAAATATTCACTCTGTGGTTAAAGTTTTTAAAATTTTAATAACTTTCTTAAACTATCCTGGATTTCTACCAAACTTGGACAGAAGCTTGTTTATGATCATAAGATAGTATCAAGAAGTAAATTTTGTAAAAATAAAATTCCATTTTTTCTGTATTTTACTTATAAATGGACTTAGTTTTTCTGCTGGGAAATATTACATTCACTCTGTGGTTAAAGTTTTTAAAATTTTAATAACTTTCTTAAACTATCCTGGGTTTGTACCAAACTTGGACAGAAGCTTGTTTATGATCATAAGATAGTATCCAGAAGTAAATTTTGTAAAAAAATAAATCCATTTTTTCCTTATTTTACTTTTAAATGGACTAAGATTTTCTGCCAGGAAACAACACATTCAATTTGTGGTTAAAGTTTTTAAAATTTTAATAACTTTCTTATACTATTTTGGATTTGTACCAAACTTGGATAGAAGCTTGTTTATGATCAAAAGCTAGTATCTAGAAGGAAATTTTGTAAAAAAATAAATCCATTTTTTTATTATTTTACTTTTAAATGGACTTAGATTTTCTGCCAGGAAACAACACATTCACTCTGTGGTTAAAGTTTTTAAAATTTAAATAACTTTCTTATACTATTTTGGATTTGTACCAAACTTGGACGGAAGCTTGTTTATGATCAAATGCTAGTATCTAGAAGGAAATTTTGTTTTCTTCCAGTTAACATTACATTCAGTCTGCAGTTAAAGCTTTGAAACATTTTTTAGATTCATAAACTATCCTGGATTTTTACCAAACTTTGACACAAGCTTCTTACAATCAAAAGATAGTATCAAGAGGAATATTTTTATTCATTTACGTCCTCATTTTGTTGAGCCTGCGATTAACAGAAAAAGTAGGCGAGACACTGGGTTCCGAGGAACCCTTACGAATTTTTTAAAAAGTGGGGCGAGTTGGTGAAAAAGTGGGGCGATTTGGTGTGGGGCGATTTGCCAGTGGGGCGAGTTGTCTTGCTTCCAAAAATACAGCTATTTTTTTAATTATGGTCAGATCATATATTTTCGTAGGTCATATGATTCGTACTATGCATGCTTTTTCAATGGAAATTGTGACGTCACAATGCATTCTTAATAGCAAGTAAACCCATGAGACGAGGATAAGTACTTGTTTTCTCCCTACTACTGAAAATAAGTTGGTTGAAATTTAATATATTGCAACCTGCAAATACTGTATTTTGGGCTTTCAGTCAAATCAGAAACAGCTTTGAAATCTGAATTTCAATAAGGATTAACTGAATGCCACCTGGGACTATTATACTAACGTTAATATATTAGTCCTAGATGCCACACCCCATTTGGTACCTCACATTTGTATACTTAAAATAATGAAAGGATGCAAGAGATACTAAAATGTGTGTGTTTTTTTTTTACAGTTGCACAAAACTAAAATTGATTCAGCAAATAATTTCTTATAAACCAACAGCTAACAGGGGTTAGTGATCGCATTTTACAACGTAAAAAGTCGATAGATGGTGTTGCTGAGAACATCAGACGCGAACTGCCAAACATTCCATTTTGATATTGAAGTGTAATAGATGCATAAAAGAAACATTAAATTACATACCAGATATAACCATTGCCTGGTTTGGACCAACAGTTTGTATGTTGCCCATTTTGAGTTTGTGTGAGCTTTCGTAAACAACAATTGGCCTTTCGCAATGGATATCACAAGCGGATGTCTGTAAATAGGTCAAATTAGTTAATTGGTAAACAAGGTCCGATCTAATTCCGGATTTTTGGAATCTCCTTGGATGATTCATACTAGGCATGCTGGGGAATAATATGACATATCAAGGCTGAATTTGTATGTAAAAAATTCACAATTTATACACATAAATCTCATGAACAGTTCTTATAAAACTGAATATTAAAATAAAGATTACGTAGCCATCCTAAGTACTAAAACAACCTTCTTTGCCGTCATTTCATTTTCCGATGTGACTGTACCAACTTTTTTAGTTATTCCTTTTTATAAAAAATCTGGGAACAGTATATATTGACGGGACTTGACACTACTTGATTGTAGTCGATTTTATCGTCGTGCCATAGTTAATAAAGATACGATACAGAAACGGACATGTGTTAAAAACGGACTCGCTATTATCCTAATAATTTCTGATATTATCAATAAAATGTCATTCAAACTAGTTTTATAGTGATGCTAGTGTATCAAACTTGTATTCTGTCACTTCAAATTTGTTAAAATCGCAAGCATTTCATCACATAATTGTGCAGAATGAAAACAAGGTAATAAAAAAATGGCGGCCATTGCCGCGATGATTTACAAATTCCAAAACTATTATAAAACACTTCACATCAAATAAATCAAACTTATTTTGGTAATTTTATATGACAAAATATATCTACTAAATGATAAAACTTGTATTTATTTACAATTAGAGTAATGTGGTTTATTTGTTGAGCAGTTCTGGTAGTTTTTCAGTCAGACGCTACCAAAATCCGTAAATCTCGGGAAGTCTCGGGGAGTCCGAGATTTTATCAATTTTATACTGAAAAGCGTATCAGATTCATTTCCCGTTAGATATACTGTTCCCAATATATATGTTCCTGAAAAAATGTAAGAGTATAGACATTAGACATTAGAGATATTTATTAACCAATGGCAATAATGGGCACTTGTCAGGCAAGATACATAAACATCATAATACAATATACAATTATGGCCCGCTGAGGAGGTCACGTTATATCCAAAATTGTCAACCCGAGTAAGGGTTATTCCACGAGAAGGTTATTTCACTGAGGGCGCAGCCCGAAGTGAAATAACTTTTAAGGGTTGACAATTTTGGATATTCATCGCTTCTAAGGGGCCACAATTGTTTTATTATACCGAAATAATAGTAGAAGGGCATTTTGAATAATTGTAATAGCACTTACCCTTACTTGAGTCAGTAACAAACACAAGTTGACGTTCAAAAATACATGTAATTTGCGTATTAGAATTCTCGTATGTACAACAAAGGTAGATTCTTTTTGTAAAATATTGATGGTCCTGAAAAGGACCGTTATTAGAGATATCATCGGCACAAGATGCACGTCAAAAGCCTTATTTCCTCTTCTCTCGATCAATGGGCTTCCTGTAACTTGAACGTTGCCATTTTGTTTATTTACGTCTGTGACGTCATTTTCATGGGTACAAATCAACTAAAAAGGTTATTCGCCGGTGAATAATAGGGTTATTCAACGCTGGTGTAAATTTTTAGGATTATTCGTTCTTCCTTGCAATTGAAGGAAAATCAACTGAATTATTCCATGTCACGTGATAACGTTTTACCCAGTAGAATTGTTTGAAATATATGTAAGGTATAATAATATACAATTATGGCCCGTTGAAAAGGTGAATATCCAAAATTGTCAACACGAGAAGGTTATTTCACTGAGGGCGCAGCCCGAAGTGAAATAACTTTTAAGGGTTGACAATTTTGGATATTCATCGCTTCTAAGGGGCCACAATTGTTTTATTATACCGAACTAACAGTGGAAGGGCATTTTGAATCATTGTAAAAGCACTTACCCTTACTTGGGTCAGTAACAAACACAAGTTGACGTTCAAAAATACATGTTATTTGTGTCTTAGAATTCTCGTATGTACAACAAAGGTAGATTATTTTTGTAAAATATTGATGGCCCTGAAAAGGGCCGTTATTAGAGATATCATCGGCACAAGATGCACGTCAAAAGCCTTATTTCCTCTTCTCTCGATCAATGGGCTTCCTGTAACTTGAACGGTGCCATTATGTTTATTTACGTCTGTGACGTCATTTTTATGAGTACAAATCAACAAACTAAAAAGGTTATTCGCCGGTGAATAATAGGGTTATTCAACGCTGATGTAAAATTTTAGGGTTATTTGTTCTTCCTTGCAATTGAATGAAAATTAACTGAATTATTCCATGTCACGTGATAACGTTTTACCCAATAGAATTGTTTGAAATATATGTAAGGTATAATAATAATTATTATTAAACATTCGACTGAAATAAGAGTTTTCAGTGAATACACAATACTCAAAGAAAAGAAATAAAATACGAGCTATATACAAGGATATCATTACAGTATAAAGCGTGTAGTGTAATGAGGTCGATTTTATAAAAAAAAAAATAGATATAAAATATATTAAAAAGAAATAATAGAGCAAGAGCTATAGTTTCATATTTTGTAGTAGTTCTCTTCATGACCAGTGCACATCAGTGGGGAACCTTACATCACCACAATGCAGATGTCATCAAGGGTGGTTGTTTAGAACAAGCTACAGTTATTACAATAAGATTGTCACCAATAGTGCTTCTTCTCGTGACTGATGCACAGTAGTTTATGGTTTGACATTACTACTGTGCAATATTCTTCAAGGGACGGGCTCTAGACTCACTAAGGGAAAATTATAAAGTTCAATTTATAAGAAAAAGAGGGAGATCATTTTATATTATCGGAGATATATTCACTATCCAAAAAGGGAAGATTGAGTTAGTTGTGTTTTGTGTCAATCTCATCAAAACTTTTCATATTTCTAAATGAATATGTATAATTCTGATAATAATTTCTCATCTTTAATAAATAACATTATTCATTGACCAGGCATATCAGTTTTTTGGTGCGGTCTAGATTTTTAAATTCTTCCAGCAATTATTTATCATAGTTACCATATCTTTTCGTTGTCCTGATAACATTGTTTTCGGAGCGTTTTGTAGCTTGCTATGCGGTGTGTTTTTGCTCATTGCTAGTGACCTACGGATCCAGCCATTTTTAAATGGGGTGGGGGGGAGTCCAACTATATGTCCCCATTCAAATGCATTGATCGTCAAAAAAAGGGGGTTTCCAACCCCCGGAACCCCCCTCCCCTTTTTGATCCGCCACTGACCTATCTTTTTTAACTTCTACATCATTTGGTCTGACTGTCTCTGGTGGAGAGGAGTCTCATTGGTAATCATACCATATCTTCTTATTTGTATATTGAATTAAATAACTTATCATTGACACATCCTTCCATGATTTAATCCATACTTGAATTTATCCGGGATGTGGAGGACATTGTATCAAGTAACATCTGACAAATAGATTGGCACGACCTTGCCTTTGTTTAAATTCTTCTATTTTCGTGCATTTTTTTTTTTTATAGTTTGTTTGTTTTGGTTTTTTGTAAGAAGGGAAAGAAGAATTTATTTCCAAATTAAAGGACCTACAAAATAAGGGGCAATAATATTAAAACAAGAACAAAAGACCCTTACAAAACGTAAGAACTACTTGATGGATGTTATAGTCAATAACATTGATACAAAGTATATTAACATATCTTAGGTTCGGATTTATATATGGTCATAAAAAATTTAAGTCAAATGACCGATTAATAATATACTCGCGCAGCATTTACCCACTCGTGTCCTGGTTGTATTGGAGCAAAGACAAACGTGTTCATTTATCGCCTTGGTCATCGTATTGAAAGGAAACTCGATAGGAAAATTCATAGAAAGAGCACACATCCTCGACCAAAGTATTTCAGGGTAACCAAATGGAACGGTACTAAAATTAAGTAATCTAAATTATTTCCAAAGAATTGTTACACAAATTTAGAACATACTATGTCTTATGTAAAGAAGATATTCCAAACGTGTTTTCAAAAAAACGCTTGTGTTTATCTTTTGAAACCAAAATTTGCCTTGGAAATAGAAACGTTAAAAAAGCTCGAAAATTTTAGTAAATATCTAAAATTTCGACCCCATTTATCTTAAAGAAGAAACTATGGTATATTTTTATTACATATTTGAATTGATCAGGTGAAAAATATCTTGTATTCAAATTTTCGTCCTACAATCACCGTTGGATCAAAACTGTATGCTCGCAATTGGAATATTTAAAATTGTACCTGTAAAGTGTTTAATATTTTAATTATGTACCAATAAGTGTAATATACATATAACTTTTACTTAACAGTAAGAGTAAATAGTTATGTTTTTGATAGAGACAGTGCTTGTGTCAGCTCGATAATATTAGGTGCTTGCAAGACAAAGGTTATATTTGTTGTGAGTACCAAGGTGCAGTGCTCCGTGTTGAAGGCTTCACTGTGACTTTGAGACGAAGAACAGCAATAAAAACGCTGTTCTTTTGCTGTTTGTGATATTTTTTGGAAAAATACTGATTTTGTGTCATGGATGACATACCCCATATCCTTTCTTTTCTATTGATGTAAAGAACTTATTGGGTGGCAATTTAGAAATGCCAGGATTAGCACACGTCACAGACTTATGGTGTGACAATGCAAAAATGTCAGGGTTAGCACATGTAAATGACTTATGGTGTGACAATGCAGAATGCCAGGATTCGCACACGTAACGGACTTATGGTGTGACAATGCAAAAATGCCAGGATTAGCACATGTAAATGACTTATGGAGTGACAATACGAAATGCCAGGATTAGCACATGTATAAATGATTTATGGTGTGACAATGCGAAATGCCAGGATTAGCACATGTAACGGACCTATGGTGTGACAATGCAAAAATGCAAGGATTAGCACATGTATAAATGACTTATGGTGTGACAATGCGAAATGCCAGGATTAGCACATGTAACGGACTTATGGTGTGACAATGCAAAAATGCCAGGGTTAGCACATGTAAATGACTTATGGTGTGACAATGCGAAATGCCAGGATTAGCACATGTGAAGGACTTTTTGG